AAAAAAAGGCGCGGGGCCGGCCGCGCTGTGCACACACATATAGGAAGAGAGAGGGAGTCAGGGGAAGATGGGAAACACGTACCTGGAGGGGATCGGTGACGAGGTACGTAGTTGCGCCTGCCATCGAGGGTCACGAGGTGAAGCAAACCTGACCGCTATTGCGGGTCAGGTACTTCGAAGATAACGGTTGTTCGGTTCGGGATGCCTGTATTGCCTGCAGGTGGTGATGGATGTTTGGCGGAGTGACCCCATGACTTAATGGATGATAGGAACCAATAGCCAGCGGGTACACATTCGTGATGTGAGTAGGTCGTGTGCAGCTTTGCTCTGTGTTGGGTGTGTGGACGTCCTAGCCTGGGCTCCGCTATTGTCCTGCTGCCTGTGCATCACGGGGTTCGGATGTGGGTTTTGGCCAGTTGGTGCGTTTGCTGTACTCTTGGTGGGGGTTGCGAACCTGTTTGCTGGGCGGTGTACCGCTCCTTCTGTAGCCCGTGCAGCAAGAGGCGGGCTACAAGACTTGAAGATTTACCTGATGCCTAGGGCGCTGTCTATCTGTGGACCGAGGAAGCGGGTTGCGGAGATTGTAGGCTTGCTTGTTGGCTACATGCAGTCTGACCGGCTGAATAAAGGGACAAAAGGCGTTACTCAGGCTGTTATATGGAGTGACTGGGTATAGGAAGTAATAGTGCGGACCTACCTGTTTCAGTTGTACGCTGCTGTTCTCATTAGCAACCAGGAAGTGAGGGGATTGCAGCAGGATGCAGTTTGTACAGGTCGCTAGGCCTCGCTGAAATACAGCGCAACAACAGGTTGAGTTTTTTATCATAGGCCGCGGCGGCACCCTGTAGTTGCTAGTAAAGTGCTATACATATGGGATTCTACCGAGGTTCTGCGGGACTATTTGTATTTCATGAGGCTGTACAGTGATGTTTGGTCTAAGGGGAAGGACTGAAACTTAGAGGAGTAGTCAGGCTGCGAAGGGGGTTGTGGCGGCGATTGGGAATGGGCGTCGGGGAGCTGATTTCAACAATTTGACTTCAGGATTTGATCGAGCTGTTACAGTTTGGCTATCATTGCGGGGCCCTCAGGCGCATCCAGATAACAAGACCCTCTCCCGCGAGTCAGAGTGCACCATTCTTGGATTTGAGAGACTGAACCTTCCTCCTTCTGCCCTTCTTACTCTAAGTCTAGTCCCCTGGTTCTGAGAGGAAGGCGGCAGGCGGAATTGCAACCCGTAATCCGCGCCAGGCCTCTGTGGGAGGTTCGCCCCACCGATTGCGGGAGCTCTGCCGGAGCCTAGGCGGGGCTCTGGAGGCAAGGAATTGAAAGGTAACCATTGTTTTTCCTTTATAAACCCAAGTATAGCCTCTACCTGTATTTCCCATTGCATCTCTGACTGAGTATATGGTGTGCAACTCTACTTTATTTTTGGTTTGACTTTCTGGAGACTGAACCAGATTAAGTAAATGAATGTTTGTTGAAGTTTAGTTTCAGTTTTCTTGATTATATGAAAGCAGATTGTAAAAAGAAACAGCATCTGGGAAGGCAGGATGGCGGACTGATTTGCATGATGGTTGACTCGGTCACTAAGGCTGGGAGGTCCTCATGAGTATGGGGAGACCCAGTGCTTTGTTTTATTTTGGATTGCGTGGAGCGTCAGACCCTTCTATAAGTTTAGGGGGTCTGATTGCTCTGAATGCTGGGATGTCCCCATAAGTTTGGGGAGACCCAGTGCTATGGCTTGCATGGAGGATCAGACTGTTCTGTAAGGTCAGGTGACCTGACTGCTCTGACTTGTGAAGGGTCTGATTGTGCCTGATTTTCAGGGAGTCGGGGCATTCAATAAGTTTTAGTGCCTTGGGTTGCCTTGTTTTTACTGGGGTTTCATTTGTTTCTTTGGTTTCTGAACGAGGAGGTCTGAGCTGTTATATAAGTTTAGGTGACTCAACCTCTTTCTGTTTTTTATTCTGAAGAAATAACCTTGGCAAAGTGGCAGATCCTTCTGTAAGTTCAGGGGGTCTGACTTGATGCCACACACATGATGATTCAGAGAAAAATAAAATTGGCAGAGAGTTAGATCCTTCTGTAAGTTCAGGGGGTCTGGCTCGAAGCCTCGCACATGCTGGAACCCAATGGTTACAACTTGGCTATATCATTCTACTATTTTATCTAAGAACGAGCTAATCAGACTGTTCTATAAGTTTAGGTGGTCTGACTATAGCCTATCACAACTTTAAACGAGTATAACTCAGAATAAAATAGATGGTAAGTTAGGGCAGACTGAACTTAAGTTAGTTCAGTCATATGCAGCCTTAGAAGATAAAGGGAAGACATATATATATAACTTGGATATTTTAAACAGTTCAGGGCGACTGGAATGGTCTAGTCGTGTGTCCAAAGAAGAGAAAAGTAGTTGTACCCTCTGTTTTGTGTATATCCAGTGGCTAAGTTAGGCACATTTATAAGTTTGGGTAGCCTGATTTTACGCCTTATGTAAGCTGGGTATAAGGGATTATATCATTGAAAAATCATGAACTATTGTTTGTTCAGGTATACTTTGGGATGGTGAGAGTACTTACCTTTGTGGTCTGGCTTGCATGTGGCTAAGTGAGATCACTACTTATCTGAGTTCCAGCTTGATAGGTAGTTGCTTTAGCTGCTCGCCGTGTGCTAGAGCTGTAGGAGTTAGTTTCAATTCCTGCATTTTCTGAGCTAAGTTTTTTTTACTTTGATCAATTCTCGCATTTTTTTGGATCATTTTTTTTGGACTTGGCTTTGTATAAATTTTGGCAAGCTACTTTCTTTACGGGAAGCGCTGCCGAAATTTTTAAAAATCCAAGGAGTTAGTTGATTTTTGACTTGTCCAAGTTTAACTTGTTTTTTTTTTATATTTGACCTAGTAAAAATTTAAAAAGTTTAATTTTCTAAAGGGAGTGCTGCCCAAATTTTTGTTAATTCAGGGAGTTAGACAAAATTAGACTTTGAGAAGTCAAAGTTATTTTCAAATTCTGAACTTAGCCTTGTATAAATTTTGGAATAACACTTTTCTTAAGGGAATGCGGCCAAAATTTTCGCAAAACTAAGGAGTTAGTTAAATCTTGTCTAAGTTGAACTCAAGTTGTTTTCTGAGCTCATATCTGACTTAGTATAAATCTGGGAAGTCTCCCTTTCTAAAAGGAATGTTGCCCAAATTTCTACCAATTCAGGGAGTTAGACAAATTTTGACTTTTCAGAGTTAGAGATTATTTCTGCCTTCATATTTGGACTTATATAAATTCTGAAAAAGACACTTTTCCTACGGGAAGCTCTGCCAAAATTTTCTTAGTTAAGTGGAGATAGATTGTATTTTGACAGGTGACGATTCTGGTGATCCACTCTAGATAGGGGAGATTCTGTCATGAATCTACCTTTCTTTGGACACTTGCTTATAGATAGGGTTAAATATAGTTAACTATGATGATTTTGATGAGATCATGATATGAAGATTGTTTTCCATGGACTAATAGGTTTAGCCTGGGGCATTGACCTGTCATGTGTTACAGGTCTTCTTGATCGATCTGATTCAGGACTTGGACTAGATTCAGCTTGACCCCTTGAGAGTCTTCTTCTGTTATCATTGATAACACGTCGGTTGCCGATTCGTCGGTTTACGATTCAACTCCAATTCACTCCTGTCACTCAACCTAAAGGCTTTAGCCTTGTGATTTGAACTGTTTTGTTGTGTTTTTATCCGGACTTTATTGAATGGTCATCCAACCAAAGTACTGAGTATTTATTTAAGAGTTGCACGAGTGAGGCTTGTATGGTTAAGACAAGGGTTGTGAGTGCAGAGAATGGTTGAAGTTGACCCCGTGTAGTGCGTGGGTTTTTTGGATGAATCTTTGATGTGATTGCAGGTGCGTTTGTGGTTCGGACTCTGGATGTGATTGTCTGCGATTACATACATATATAGCTGAGGGAAACTCCACTGTGACTGTGAGAAGTGATCGTCCTATATAATCAACCCTCATATATTTACGAGTACCCTGAGTGTTTGAGAGACCACTGTGATTGTGCATAAGGTTTAATCTGGTTGTGTCTCGAGAGAAAAGGGGGATTCTCTTTTTACCTTTGTTTTTTAGAATATTTTTATAGTCGGACGTTGGTCCTGGGCCGGGATTCCAGGTCCTTGTCCAGGACATCCCAAACCCTAGACTCTGCAGGGAAGAAATCTGCCCCCGTGCAGAGCCTATTTGCCTTGCCTACCGAGATGCTCAGACCAAAGGCCGGAGGTCTCGCGGCGGCTGCACGACTATTCCTTTAGTCGTGCAATGTCGTGAAGGATCAGACCCTCACGACACTAGGATCAGACCCTCACGACACTTCGAGTCCGACACTTGAGTGTCATCAGCGGTACTCGGATCCACGAGGGACCGCTTGATTATGAACACTACATAGTACGCCATCATTGCGACTGCTTGCGTACGCTTGCATTGCGAGTCGATATGAGTTAGCCCTGCGTCCGCACGGTTTTATACTAAAGTCTCGCGCGCAACGCCTATCCGATTTCGGCATCGAAGAGTTATGGGATGGTTACCGAGGGGCTAGGAGCGTTGTCGCGTTGTTTGTGTTGTGTCGTTTTGTATGTGTGTGTGTGTGTTTTATTTTTGTGTTTGTAAAGTGGTGTGCGCGTGGTGTGTGGGATGCGTCCTAGTCGACCGACGACGAGTCGCGCTTGGGACCTCAAACCCCCAAGATGTCGGGTCGCGTGCGGGTCCGATAGCAGCGTATTACCGCGCATGCCCCCTATGCTACAACGAACGAGAAACGCCATCGGCTGTTCCACCTCTGCGATTGCAACTAATAAGCTTTCGTACTGTGGACTGGTAGCTCGGCGTGGATACGCCCACTGAAGGGAGGTGACAGCTCCCGTAAGGTGGAGGTAAGTTGTGCCTCGCGTAGGCCCTATCCTGTCGTAGGGGCTCGCGAGAGGTATGGCTAGCGCACTCGGCCGGAGCGGCTTGCGGAAGCTCCATATATATTTGCGACGAAGGATTTTAAAAACCAACTCCTGCGTGACGCGGCCGGGAGGGTCCCGCGTTGCCCTGGTGCGGTGCCGGACCGATGCGCTCGACACCGCCTACCGGCCAAGGCATTGGCGGTTGTCCAGCGTTTGTCAAAGGTTGGACCCCCACCAATGGTTCTACTGGCAGGTGTGGGTCCAGCGTTTGTGAAACACTGGACCCCCGCCCACCTGCCCCGCCATTGGTGGGGTTCCAGCGTCTGACAAACGCTGGACCCCTGCCCGTCGGTTAGGTCGAGGGCTGGGATCAATTGCATTAACATGCCAGCCAAATGCCAATAGCGACGGCCGGTAGGCGGGAGTCGAGCGTTTCACAAACGCTGGACCCCCGGATGCCGGCTTCTGAAAGGTGGGGGTCCAGCGTTCTACAAAAGCTCTACTTCTGATTACCAACCTCTACTTTTTTCTTATGGATATCTCCTCCAAGTAGAGGTCGTAAGGGTTCGAATGATGCGGATAAGAGGTACAACAACAGGTCGAAACTGTATCGCGACAAGCTGTGGACTCTCGACTGGGTCGGTGTGGCCGGCAAGGCCAGGTGTGTCGCTGCTGTGTTTTTGACGGAGGACGAAGGGGCGACCGGGTACTGTTGTGGTGGCATCATCACGTCTCAAAGTGACAAGGCCACGGCGGAGAAGGGCAAGGTCGACGAGCGAGAGTTGAGAAAATTCTTCCTCACTTCGGTGTACGATGAGCACGGTACCGACTTGGACAAGACTGACCACAAGGTCAGCCTCGACCTCGCTCTGTTCAAGGGGTATGGTCAGAAGGTATTCGCTATGAAAGCCTTCGGCAGCAAGCGAGATGGGAATGCGTTGAGGATGCTCTTACCCATTGAATTCCTCAGCAAGACCAACGGTTATAGAAAAAATGGTCAATTCCCGACGGTCACCGCTGGTCACCAGCTCACGTTACCTATTGTCCCGTTCGACGCTCCTGCCGAAAGTCTCGTAGGCTTATCAGCGTGCTCTAACGATCGCCGACAGGTTGTATCGACACAACAACAACCTGTCGGCGGGAAGGAGACAATTATTACTTACCAGAGGCGTTTGGCCGGTGGGTCATCGGGAAACATTCCGAAGAAGAAGGTGGTCGTCGGACCTCCCTCGAATCTTCTGGTGAGCTCGCGTGCTGGTGCCAGCTCACGCTCGCGGGACACCTCTCAACGTCGAATGGACGAGGAGTCAAACGAAGAGACGGAGGATGATGCACAGGGTCGGCAAGTGCGTTCCCGGTTGATAGCGACGCCAGGGCACATCCAGGGCGAAGGCTCTTGCGATGTGAATGAGCGGCGACAAAGTGGTGGAGGTGCCGAAGCTCGGGTGAGGGACGATGGAGAACACGACGAGGATGAAGGGGAGTGTGGTAGTGGTGAGCGGCGAGAGCACGTTCCGGGAGCGGTTGACCATATGGAGTGGGAAAAGGTTGCGGTGAGCGGTGGGGTGGGCGGTGACAGTGTCGGTGGTTCAGAAATAGAAGACGAGAAATTGGAAGACAAAGGAGGAGATGCCGGTGTTTCTGCGGGGCTAACTTCCAAGGGGAAGGGAAAACGCACAGCGCAATTGTCGTCGACGCCAGCTGCGTCTAAGAAGCAGGCTCGAAGGAAAGATGTGGACGAAGCTCGGGTCGCCTTGGATGCATCTCAAGGGACGCTTGGTGAAGCCGATGTGAAATGCAAATCAAGTGCTCGGGTTCGCAAAACGTCACAACCCAGGAAGCCCGTGCGGCCGTCAAGGCGCCAGAAATCGGACGACTCCAGCGACGATGCTGAAGGGGTGGCCCCTCGCTTTCTCTCCCTCCCTGACGACGACGAGCAGGAGACGAAGAAACCTAGTGCGGTCAATATGACGCAGTGCTTCTTCCTCGAGTACGACGACGACGGCAAAAAGAGAAGAGACCCGCCGAGGGTGGTCATTGACGTCGTGCAGGTTCTTCCTATTCCGGTGGGAGATCTCGCCTTCAACCAGCGATCGCTGAACCCGACCATCGTTGCAGGCATTGAAGCGGCAATCGATGCATCAACTCGTCCAAGGTCCGAGGATTATCCGGCTCCATGGGATCCACCAGAGTTGGTGCTGGCTTCGATTACGCCATCAATGGACGAGAACAGCCAAGGGATACGCGTCCTTCCACAGGACTTCGATCCCGATAGGACAGATGAGTATTTTTATTACCCGGTTGCCGGTCAACATACTTTCCGAAGCTATGGAAAAAGCAGTGGCGAAGAAATCTGCAGCAGTGGAGGTGTTCGGCTTTCGGAATTATGATCGTGTGCGGATCATATATTTCGACGACGACCATACGAACGGGTACGCGTATGTTTCGATATACGACAACACGAGAGCTGACCGTGCTATGTTGCCGTCCTTCCACCAAGCCTGCGAGGACATTAGCAGATTTTGGGACTCGAAGAAACGGATCGGCCCTGTGGGGAACGTGTCCAAAGGGGATCCCGCCGGTTTGACGCACCAGGAAGAGTGGAGGAAATTTTTGAGGGCGTGCATGGGGAAGTCATGTGAGAAATCACTGTGGACCGAGTGTTTAGCTCTGAAGTGGCAACAGGACAGGACAAACAGAATGAGGGGATACATGAATGTCGCCACATGCAGGGACAGGATATGACATTGGTAAAGGAGTTTTTTCTGAAGTTCAAGGCGGGGGAGTTTTCGCTATACGACAACAAATGCCCAAAGGACTTGCCCGGGAAGCAGGAAGGCCGGGTGCCGGGCCAATTCACTGAAGAGGTGCAGGGGAAGAAGGAGGTGTTCTATTGCTTACCGGCTAGGGACGGGGGACCAAACGCTACGGTGTTCTTCAAGATCTCGTTCCGTCAAACTTCAAATGTTTTGGAGATATGACGGCACGAGAGAAGGAAATTGCATTGCGGTTGATGATAAATAAGAAAGTTATCGCCACTACTAGACTGGTTCCTCCTGCGAAGTTGAACATGACCAACCTCCTCGACATCATAATGCGCGAGAGATACATGATGCGTCTGTTCAACTACATCGTCTTCCAATCAGAGAACAGAGAGGCGAGAGAATGGAAGGACGGAAACTTCTTCGACTATGAAAAAGTGGAGCAAAGGTTTGGTGTGAGGACAGTCGAATGGGATGAGGAAAGGGATGGGATCCCTTTGGAATATGTCCGGAGGGTTCCAAAAAGACGCGGCGGAGAGCAAGAGGAAAAAGGTCTAAAAGGAGCTGGCCTGAAGGCCACGGAGGCATTGTAGAGGGACGCGCCTTTCCACTTCAAGTCCTTCGTATACCATGCAATTGGAAGAGTGAACTTGCTGACAGCTGAGTTGCGACGGTTGAAGAACGTTGCGCTTAATCTGAGTTGGGAAAAGAAACAACGACGGTCGACATTGCTACCGATCAACATTCACCCCAAGGAGTTGCTGCCCGCGGCCGACGAAATTGTGACTGCGGCCACGAACTTGAATTGCAAGGCGGCTATCCTCGATCTCGCCAACCCGAAGGAGTGCCTTGCATGGTTGCCAACCGATTTCGATGCTTTGCACAAAACGATGATGAAATTGTGCAGTAATAATTGAATTTTGATTGTTTTTGCCCCGCAAAAACAACAGAAGATCGTCATGAAGTCGCTTTACAACTGGGACGATGTAGAGGTGATACCCGAGACTTGGAAGTGTTATCTCGGGGTCCGGACGGCTGTGAGCAAGTACGGAAACTGGCAAGTCGATTATAAGGACACGATGGCAATCGTCCTGCATGCCGAGGGCGGCGACCTCAAGAAGGTCACAAGTGCCCCTAAATCGGAGGCGGAGATAGTAGAGCTAAACGTTGAGGAGGAGCACTTCAAGAGGTGCACAGCGAGGCACGGCGGCGAGGAAGAAAACGAATGAGAGGTGTATGGGCGGTGGGAACGACATCCCAAACGGTTGCAGAAGTTGTGTAGTTCGTTTCTGCACGAGGATCAGGGGGTGATTCTTATCGGGAAGTCGCATGTTGGACTTGTGTGGGAGTTTCTGCGCGCTGACTATCACGTTTTCGCATGCGACTCGTCGTCCAAAGACATTTCGTACTTGACGAAGGTCATCGAATTTCTTGGAAAGGACTTGAGAAACGATTGCACGGTTCAGAGACAGAAGACTGCGCACCGTCCGGACAGGGACATGTACCACAAGCTGGGCAAGAAGAGAAACAAGATATGGGAATATCTGTTCCAAGGCCAACCCAAATTGCCATTCGAGCATGACTACATAGCTCACAAAGCGATGGCACAGGAAATGTATGGTGGCTACCATAAAGCACAGGTGCGTACGTTTGCGATGTTCGTGGCGAGATGTGAACAAATGAAGTTCACAGCAAATCAGGCAATGCTGACATATGAAGAGTACAACAACATTGCCAAAACAACCGATGCATGGAATCCGATCGAGAGCGACGAGAAGACCGAAACATCGGACCTCGAAATCGAAGAGCGAGTGAAACGTTTGCGAGAGGGAATGCAAAGTGTGCCTGCATGCAGCATGCCGAACGAGAATCCAGAAGAAGGTCGCACGAAATCGGGAGGTGCGAGCAGTCCGACGCGTGACGTGCCCGACAGGGCGAGTTCCATTGAACAGATGCAAACGGATTCGCCTACACCCCTCAGAGCACTTGAGAATGCATTGATTCATGACAATCGTCACGGGTTCCAGGGGAGGCCTCGCACTCTTCAAGGAAACATGGAACACAACATGCTGGCAGACGCCGATGAGGATGACTTGGCGGTTCCAGATGCCCTTCCGAGGCTGATGCCCGGTGATGATATTTTCGATCGCATTGTGTAGGCCAGCGAACGACCGTACTTCATTGAAGACAAGGTGCCAGAAATGACGTCTGAGAAGTGGGGGCATCACATTCTGTGGCATACAGACGTATTCGAGCCATGCATTTTCAAGGGGGAGTGGATGATGACACTGCATCCAACATCAGGATGGAAAGTCAAACCGAGACTGGCAGAAGTACTGTGGCTGAAAGTGACGAAGAGCGAAATCGTCTTTCGTGTCAGGCGCGAAAACGACGGAGCAGACGAGGCAGCTATTGAGGAGAAGGCTCAATTGCTATTCGATTATCCGCACTTCAACAATCAACTGGAATATAAACACAAGTTGTATGACTTGCCGTCAAGCCGGTCATACAAGACCATCGATTGAAAGATCGAACTTCATCCTGCGTGCCAAGGCATTGAGACAATCCAGTTGGGATGCTCACAGCTTGGGGGGCAGTCGACGACGCACTTGGCTGCTTGTGTTGGGGAAGCGATGAGTCAAACCAATGTTAAGATAATGGGGGTGGACAAGGGAGCACTGAATGTTGACAAAGATCCTTCGAACGTCGCATCGTACGGGCCTCCTCTAATAACTCAGGTGGAAAACCAGAATGCATCGCAGATGGAGAGCCCCATTCCTTCCACGAACATGGCGGTTTCAGATGGAATGCAACAAGGTGGGTATACAGAACGTGCGAGTGAGGTGCAAAAAGATTCCAATGAGATGATGAAATTGTTGGATGAGGCGGAGAAGGACGAGAAGAGGAAGCTTGAGGGATCAACCACGTCCCAGACGGTGATTAATTGTATATCGTTAAGCGATGAAAGGGTAGACGTACATGTAGACGGGGGCGATGACAATGAGGATGCAAGGGACAATGTCGATGAGCATAAGGAAGTGGATGACGGAGGTCAACCTGCGAGATGATCGACAAGAGAGATAAAGAAAAAACATCCGATTAATGTGTAGATATATGCAGAGGCTAAGTTCGGGTTGCCGTGACACTCTGTGTATGTGTGTGAGTGCTTGTACGCAACTCAGATAAATATTTTCGGTGGGAGACGTGTGTATAACAATTGATTCTGCAGTGAATTGGAGAGGACATCGGATAACAGTGTCAATCATGATACATCTCTCTCTCTCTCTCTCTCTCTCTTTCTCTCTCTCTCTCTCTCTCTCTCTCTCTCTCTCTCTCTCTCT